CTATCTATCTATCTATCTATCTATCTATCTATCTATCTATCTATCTACATCTGTTTCATCTATCATAAACATTAGGCACTTCGGCAATGATTAGGAAAAGCTACTGTGGAATATAGCAGCTTATATAAAATCAAAAGTGCAACTAATTAAAGCAACTGTGTCTTTTCCCATGATTTCCCAGCTGTCTTATACAGCTTCCACATGATCCTGAGAAAAAGCATGGCTTCTTTAAAAAGTAGGGGGACAGGTGCCATATATTGCCATATATTCTCATGAATAACTTTTGGAAAAGAGGAGGTAGGAAGAGGAGGGAGTGGGAGGAGGGAAGGAAGAAAAAGAAATTCAGATGATGCTGAATGGTTACTAGATAGCCCACCTAATTCCTAAATTCCAAAACTGTAGTTGATCAGCGGATTCCCCCCCCCCCCCCCCCCAGAATAAAATTAGCAGGAGCATCGCTGACTGGCTTGAGACAATGAACTAGCATGGATCTCCGGCTTGACATTTCCTAATTATCTATATTCTGCAATTCTCTAAATGAGCCAGAATACCTGCTGAACCATAATGTGTTTCCAGAGTACTGATAGGAAGTAATATGCAAAAAAAGAGACTGTTATTTTACTATTCTACCGCTTTATGTCAGAAAGTTGACGGAACTGTGGGAAATTCAAAATGGCAGATTGTTATTGCCCATTCCTGTGGTCAAATAGAAAGAGAATAGCAGCTATCGAAAGGGCTGATGAAGAAACTGGTGCTTTTGTCCCCACCGATTACACCATTGATAAAACAGTCCCTAAACAATGTTAATGAATTCTCCCCTTTTCATTCTGGACACTGAAATCAATTCTATGGTATCATTCAGCAGACAACAAATATTATTCTCCTTGAATCTGGCTTTTAAAACTATTCCTGCATGAGTTTCATGGAGCAAGTCAACCCTACATTATAGCCTGTGGATGCTTAATAACCCTAATCTCTTACACAATTTGGAACCAGAAAAAGGAGAGTTTATTAACCAGCTGGTGTTTTATAATTCATGGTCACTCTTTCATAGATGGCTTTGGGGCTTCCAACTTGATTAGATAGATTTAAGCTTGTTCTGAGCAAATTTCCATTTGTGCAATAAACCAAAGAAAATGGTTATTTTTTCCAAACTAACTTGTATCTGTATGTTGTTTTTTTATACAAAAATATCCTTTCTAAGAATGATGTATAATTATTTGCATTCTTATCTTTGACCAAAGGATAGAATTAGGTAACTTAACCTACTTCGAAACACTAATTCCCACAGACTTTTAAAGGCAAGTCATAATTTATTAAGGTAGCTCTGTAAAGTTAATACATTGATTCTACTTTCAGGTGACTAGATAACTATGAAATTTTCCAAGATAAAATAAAAGATATTGCAAACTAACATGTCAGATACTATATACTGGGTTTTTTCCTCCCAGGATAATCAGGTTGTTTTTCAGAGCAATTGTTTTTTGTGTGCTCTTTTAAATTAAAATATTTGCAAAAGTAAATTAAATTTGGAGTTGGGAACAAAGGCTGTTATAGTCACTATGCTCAGATGGAACTTGCAGTGGGAAATATTATCGACATAAACATTATTAGGTAAGAAACAGATTATGTGGCAACATATTGTTGCAGGTGTCACACATGCCATATCTTCCAATCTTGTTTAGGCTTTTTAGGTCCTGTGAAGCATAGATTGAGACAAAGTTTAGTCCTCACCCACAAAACTAAAAACTGGAGATGGTTTAATTTTGTGGAATCCCTGGGGCCTTTTATGGGGCAGGCTGATTCTTTACAGATTTAAAGTAATAGCTGAAACCTCCCTTTAAAGAAGAACTTTTGCTTGGTCAGCTAAATCAAAAATGCCCCCAATACTGTGGTCTTTTCTTCATCCTGTGATCTTCTATCCAGGCCAGGGGTGTCAAACTTTTCCTCCCTTTGCTAAACCAGATGTGGACGTGGCCAGCGTATGACACATCTGGCCCGTGGGCTTGGGGTGTGACAGCCCTGATCTAGGCAAACCCATTCCATCTTTCATTTGATGCTCCAACACTGCAACATATTCACTTTTCACCAGGATAACTACAATGGCCTCCATGTGGGATCAGAATTAGTATCCTGGCTCTCCACATATGGAAGCACTTTTCATTAAAATATGGGTCCAGACTGGAAAGGGTCAAATGGATTAGGAGGCATAAAACTTGCAAGAAGTTATGTAGATTAGCTTCAAAGAAAGAATATTTTTCACAACCTTCTCCCCATTTTGCCTCAGCACTCTGAAAATGAGGCCAATATCTTAAGGTGCTTCTTTCTTCTCACTCTTCCTCTATGTATACTACTAGAAACTGGGAGACCATAAATTCTAGTACTGCTTTAAATACAAGGCCAGCTAGGTGACTTTGGGCCAGTCACTCTCTTCACTCCTAGAGGATTTCCAAAAAGCTATTTCCAAAAATGTTGCCATGAAAATAGCATAGATTTGTCCAAACAGCCAAGAGTCAAGATTCACTTGAAGATACATGTTTACTTAGTATGTCCAAAACTTGGTTGCTTTCCAAAACTTGCCAGTTATATATGAATGAGGCTATTTAAAACTATCATATTATGTTCATAAATATAACTTGCTAAAATGATTTCTTGAGGCAGATACAGCAATAATGAATACATGGAAGCTATTGCTGATCAGCAGTTTTCAATTATAATTAAAAAAATAGGAGAGGATAAATAACCATGATTTAAAATGCAATACAAACCAATATGTTATATGGAAAGTATAACACTTTCATGTAAGCATATCTGGATTTTTCTATGTTCTATACCTTAAACAAAATACTCTATTTGAAACATAAGTTGGGTTTGTTTTTTGCATGTCAAATTTGAATTCTAATAATGCTTACATCTTTGTCAGTATAGGAAATACTCTTTATGTACTAGCTACTCTATTTGTTTCCGTCAGTGTTAGGAGATGCATCACACTTTAAATGAAAAGTCTGTTCAATAAACACAGGAGAACAACTACAATAAATGAGAGAAGTAGTACAGGATGAGCTATTGTAAGATGTTTATTAGCTCTGGACAACAATTTGTACAGGGTGTTTTAAATGCAGACCATATTCACACTAAACTTCAGTCTGAATTTGGAAATGTGTCAATTCAGTGACAGATTACATTTTTCCTTCCCCATCAACATCCCTTTCAAAATGCGTTAAATATGGTCTTAATTCTGACTTTGAAATTCAGGATACTGCCAATTTTTCTTTCAAGAGAACTACTTATAGCTTTGAGGTTGTTGTTTTTCCTCCTACAAGGATCATTTGTGATGCAATTATGCCCATTCAGGTATGATGACTTTCACTGGTGCCCTAATACTGTTTTAATTATTCTCCTAATGCTATATCAATTAGCACTGTTTGCCAAGGCCCTGGAATAGCATTCTTCCCAATGAAAATATGTTATTAGTTATCACCCATAAAGATTGCATCTCAAATAATTTTCCCATGAAAGAGGGCACTCCATCATGTTACTCAGTGGAATGCAATTTGCAACCACTGTTAGATTAGTCATTATCACACAAGAAGAATATTTTGTTCAGCTGCCAGCAACATTCTTTTGGTAACAGTCTGAGGAGATGGTTCCTGCAAGTTCTCACAAGAAATACACTACCCATCATGTTCATGTTCATGATAGGAAGTGTTCAAAGCTGGGTGGATGTTTGTTTTTACAGTTCCAAGCAGATGGCAAAAACAGTAAGCTTAGTAAGAGCTTTTTCTTACTTACATCTAACCGCTACTTAAGTATGTCCTAGAAACTTCTTTTTGATGTTGTTCTCACGACATTGCTTTCATCTGATCGTATCTCCTGCCTCAGATGCCTTTAAGTTATTTCAGATACAGATTAACAGAGTTGGAAGGGATCTTGTAGGTCATCTAGTCCAACCCCCATCCAAGCAGGGGACCCTATTCAATTTCTGAAAAATGGCAGTCCAATCTCTTCTTGGAAGCCTCCAGTGATAAAGCTCCCATAGCTTCCAAAGGTGAGCTGCTCCATTGTTCTCACTGTCAGAAATTTTTTTCCTTATTTTTAAGTTGAATCTCTCCTTGATCAGCTTTCGTCCCTTATTCCTTGTCTGACTTTTGGGTGCCTTGGAAAATAGCTTGACCCCTTCCTCTCTGTGGCAGCCCCTCAAATATTGGAAGACTGCTATCATGTCTCCCCTGGTCCTTCTCTTCACTAGACTAGCCAAGCCCAATTTCTTTTTTAGTCTCCAGTTTCCTAATCATTCTGGTTCATTTATTCCTACCTGTACCAATATTAATAAAAGGTTGGGTCCTTGGTGCTCTCTGAGCTTGATTGTTTTCTTGCAGACATTTCCTTACCTAACCAAATAACATCCCCATGTTGCTGGACATGCTAAATCTTGTGGCATTACTTGGATAATTTTTAGGCTCCTAGTTGGATTTCCAAAAGATTTCTGTCATGGCTGCCATCCTATTTGCTTATTCTTTGTACTATGCTATTCTTCGATTAATAGAAACAGAATAATTGTACTGTGTTTAAAATATAATAAAATCAAATGCAGTTAATATACGTGTTCATCCTGTGTGGTTATTCGCTTTGCGTGACCTTCACTCCAATTGCTACCCATTCTAGCCATAGTGTCTTTTCAATAATTTTTGCCTCAATCAGATCAGTCTATGTTTTTGTTTTGTTTTTATCTTTAGGATAGGATTAAACCAGGCTTTACTCTTTTATCATAACACATGGCTGGCTGAGAGCAGTAACTTTTCCATCTAATTGCCCGGAAGAGATTTTTTTTTTTTACTCACCCGAAGTGACCCTGAAACAACTTTTGATGGTTGAGCAATCTTCAAATCATCTCTTGAAAAGAAGAACATACCTACCTTTTTGAACAACGCCAAATCCGGGAGGACATGCTGTGTGCCTCAAACAGAATTCAATGTTGAGGTACCGTCCTTCTACACACTCACACACACGGTTTCCGGTGCTGGTACATTTGATCTTTTCATATTGCAGTTCCTTGCATATCACATTGCAGTAGTGACATCGTTCATTATTGTTCCATTCATCTGCATAAGATTGATCTGGACAATGAGCACACTCTGTCTTTGCTGAGGCTGTACAGTGCTGTTTGACATAGGTTCCTGGAGGACATTGGTCACACATCAGCTGACGGGAGGTGATAGGATCATAATGGAGATACTTTGGAGGAAGAGATTGCTGGACTGTCCACTTGACCGAGATGTCCAATAACTAATAAAATAAAATTAAAGCATTTTTTAAAATTTATTTATTTATATTTATTTATTTATTTGCAATACATTGATGTATCAAGTACAAAGTCCTCCTTTACAATTGTGATATGGCTAGATTAACACATTGAATTAAATTATAAACTGTATTTTGGAACTGACATCATACTAGGTTAAAAATAATAAATTCAACGATGCTAGATCAAGATCTATCGCACAGAAACTGGGGTTTCACAAGTGGCAAGTTACTAGAAAATATTTACTACTATGTAACATCTCCGGTATTTGTCACAGACCATTATGATGAATGTTATCATCTCTGCCTGTCAACTTCAACCAATTGTCACATACGGTAACCTTCCACTGTATTAGTTAGCCTGAAATTTTGCCATAAAATATCTAATTAAAAACTACAGATGTTATCTTTCAAACTTTTAATAACACTCCAGTATTGTACGTACAAAGAATTATTTCTTTTTTAGAAAACCTTCTCTGGATTAAGAAGTTTAGTAGACCTAGTCCTAGTTAGTACTTGGGTCATGAGAACAACCAGGGAATAATGATATAACTAATTAACTGAAAAAAAATATCTCTCAGAATAGAATACAAAACAGAAGAGTTGGAAGGGAAGTTAGAGGTCTTCTAATCCAAACCTCTGCTCAAGCAGGAGACCCTATATATTTTAGACAAATGGTTGTCCATTCTTTGCTTAAAAGCCTCCAGTGTTGGAGCACTCACAACTTCTGAAAGCAAGTTTTTCCACCTGTTAATTGTTCTTCATCGGGGTGGGATTCAAATTTTTTAACAACCGGTTCTGTGGGGGTGGCTTAGGTGGTGGGCGTGGCTTGGTGGTCATGTTATTGGCTGGGCGTGGCCAACTCAACATCACTCACATCGAGGCACGCATCTCCTCGCCTGGCCTCTCATGACTGTGGGGATGCTGCAACAGTCGTAAGTGTGAAAAATGGTCATAACTCACTTTTTTCAGTGCCATTGTAACTTTGAATGGTCACTCCACACAAGCAAAGAACCAGTAAAGGAGGGGAAAAAAACTCCAGGGAAGTTCCTGAGACAGGAAGTCTAGTCCTGCCAAGAATGTAATAAGGGTTAATGGAGAGGCAGTTTCTGTAAGCAACACCAGAATGTTTCCTTCCTGCCTTCCTTACAGGATTAGGCAAGTAATTTATTCTAACAAACGGTTCTCCAAACTGCTTAGAATGTTAACAACCGGTTCTAGCGAATAGGTGCAAACTGGTGGAATCCCACCCCTGTTCTTAATATAATTTCTCCTTCGTTCTAGGTTGTTTCTCTCTTTGTTCAGTTTTTATCCATTGCTTGTTGTCTTGCCTTCTGGTGGAAACAGGTTGACTCCCTCTTCTTAGTGGCAGCCTCTCAAATATTAGAACACTGCTATTATGTCACCACTCATCAGGGGTGGGATTCAACCGGTGTTACTACCGGTTCAGTGACTATGTTTTGTGCACGCATGCCACTTCATGCGGATGGGCGCCTGACGCGTGCTGCATGCACATATAAAAAAAGACATCTGCTGTGCTGCCCAGACAGCTGAAAAGTGCTGCACGCAGGTGCACAGCATTTGAAAAACCTCTTTTCCCTGCTTTTTCAAATGCAGCAATGCTGCGCAAAGCAGCTGAGGTTGAAAAAGCAGGAAATAAAGGACAGGTAAGGGCCCGGGCAGGCAGGTGGGCCAAACAGCAGCAAACACAGAATCGGTTTCGCCACCAGTTCTATGGAACCAGGCAGAACCAGTAGCATACCACTCCTACCCCCCGGTTCTTCTTTTCACTAGACTACCCAATTCCTGCAACTGTTCTTCATACGTTATAACCTTCAGCACCCCACCTACAATCATCTTTGTTGCTCTTCTCTGCACTATTTCCAGAGTTTCAATATCTTTTTTATATTGTGGTCGCCAAAACTGGACACAATATTCCATGTGTGGTCTTACCAAGGCATTCTATAGTATCCCTTTTCATGATCTCAATTCTGTCCCTCTGTTAAAGCAGCCTAGGATTGCATTGACTCTCTTGGCTGCTGCCACAGAGTGCTGGCACATATTTCAGTGATTGTCCATCTAGGACTGTGATTGAGATTCTTCGCACACTTAACTGCTGTTGAGTCAAATTTCACCTAGTCTGCACCTGTACATTTGGTTTTTTTTCTTGCCTAAGTGTAAAACCTTACTTTTTTCTACTTTGAATTTCATTTTGTTAAAAGCAGGCCCTAGTATTCAAATAATAAAGCTAAGGGCAATTACATCTGTACCGTTGTCATCAAAATAACATGGATGACAGTTTGGTTCAAAGGAGACTTGACTTCTATCCTTTTAGGAGCTCGCCAGAAGGGGTTTTGGAAAATTATATTCTATTAATTGAATTCTGAACTTTCGCAAGTTTTCCCCCCGATCTTCAAATGAAAGCCAATGTCACTGCTCCACCCTTGTGAAATAAATACAGATTGGATGGCAATGAGTAACACAGCCCATATTCCTTCAAGTATCTTTTTTTCTCTCTCTTTCAATCACAACCTTGTGATTTAAAAAAAAAATAAAAAACTAGTTTTTTTCAACATTGATTATATGCTTCGGTTTTGGGTTTTTCACACAGACCGCAGAAGAACGCTTGAATTTACTAAAACAGATAAAGCATTCTCATCCTGAAACCTAGTTTTTCTTTGATGACAGCTGCCAAGGGCTGGGCAAGTGCCAAGGCAAATTCTGTAAATTCTGGCATTCACTTTTCTACATTATGTAAGAACATTGTAATTGCCTCCAGGCAAAAATCCAGTTTGGTTCTCATTCTACTTCCGGCTGTAGCCAACAAATGGGAATCCACCAGCAGGACATAAACGTTATTATCCCCAAACCACTATTTTTTTTTTTTTTGCCTAATATTCAGAGAGATAACTGTCCTGGTGATAGAGATCCAGTTCAGCTATCACAGCCAATAACTAATAAACAATTAATCTGTTCTTGTTTCTTCTCTTTTCAACGCTCTTAAAGCCAAACGAAGACCACCAAATCATGATGGTGAGCTATTAAATATTATGGGAAGAAGAATCATTTAAGCCCTGATACAGTTTTGAAAAAGCTTTTGAGTGGATAAAGCAATTTTTTAAAAGTAGGCGTTGTTTCTCAAGTTTCCAATCTTAACACATACAAAAGGAAAAAAGGAAAAGGCTGTGGATGGAAACAAACAAACCTGAATCCTCAATATTAGCCATTTTTTATGTCATATGTATAAACACCAGGCTGTTCAGATTCCCTATTTACTTCTCTACTTTGGAGGAACAATTGCTGGACCCCAGTTCCTTGGCTCATTTGTTAACCTTGCAGTAATCGATTTCACTGCGTCAATATTTATATTATAGAAATGTGATTCTCTCTATTTTGATAGTTTCTTCATTACAATATCTTGAAAACAGCCTTGTACATAACAGCTGTACTCATGATCATCCTCAAGAAAAGCTCAGAAATCTGGAATTAGGTGAGCAGTCATCTGTTTAATGACCTCATCACTCTGTTTGAAAGACAATTTATAGCTTTATAGCTCCCACTGCCTTAAGAAAGTTCAAAACATTATCAAAGTTCCATCTCATCCTGGGCACCCTTTTTTTTTAACTATTACCATCTGGCAGATGGTACAAAATAATAAAAACAAGGACAAATAGGCTGAAAAACAGCTTCTCTCCCAGGGCAGTAGCTCTGTTGAATTCTACTGTATAGTGCAGTGTTGGTGCAGTGTCGGGGGTTTTCAATTCAATGTGTGGAGTGTGAAGGGTGTGTGTTTGTGTTTATTTTCATGGTCATGATGTGCACTGAAGATGGTGTTTGATTTATTTGTATGAGGTGCAATGACAATAAAGTAAACGAAACTATTTCAGTTCAAGACCAGTTTGTAAGGAAAGTTCCATGGGATAAGAGGGTCCAGCCATTTCCATTCTATAAAGTAGCAAGGAGGTAGGGAAGATGACAGAGGATGAAACAGACATGGTCCAGCTATTGACCTGAGATGCTGCAGAGAGCTAGATTGTAGAGCAGTTGGCCATCATGATCCATCATAGGTACATATCCCTCAGTGGCCTTCTGCGTGTTATACTGCCCTCTTCCCTCATGGCAATAGACAGGTGTCTATTTATACGAACTTTGATGCAGAATAGTGAACATTCATTTGTTGAGGACAGAACTTGCTACGGTGATAGACCTTTTTCCTACAACCCGGAAAAAGGAAGCTGTCTTGCTACATTGGACAAGAGGAGCTTCCTGAGAATAAACAACCTGGGAAGATCAATCCTGAAGAAAGCAGATCTAGATTAGAGATCTTACCAAAAGTGTCCCCTTTATCACCCTGCCTCTACACCCCATGACAGTCTGTGAAACATACACTATATATACCCATCAATCTTTGAGGGAATCACCATCTCCCAGATGAATGCAGGAGGTGGAGAGAAGAGACAGATTACTGGACAGCACTATTGGGAGTAGTAATCTCTTTTGAAATATGCTGTTGCTCCAAGGAGCCAAAGATATTCAATCCAAGAAGCATCAGGACAGAAGCTTATGGGAAGACTTTTCCTAATTTACTCAAATGTTAAACTGTATTTATGAAAGCCTGGCCTACATTGCTCTTGAAACAACATCATCTTTTACTACCTAGATACACCAAGGTATCTGTGTGAAATCTACAGCATCCAAGAATTAGCTACTAACTCAATTTAGTGCCACCAATAGTTGTAGCTTCGTATGTAACTCAATAAAAATGCAAAGAACTGTGAGAATACTTCCTCCCTCTGAACTTTGCTGCAAATATTAGATCTCTTCACCTTGAGCCATGGATTCAAATATGTCCTGCTCTATCAACTTTGAGCCGTGGATTCAAACATTTCATGTGGGGGTTTGCCCCGGATTTGTTGACCTATATATGTGAGACTTAGGGTAGGATAGTTGTTAATATTTTATACTTGATACTTCTGGGGAAACATATAGAAATTAGACTCGATGGATGAGCATGTAGCAATTTTATGTCTGTAGAGGGTGTCTGTTTAATCTCTGTTATCTCCACTTCGATCATCAATCTGAAAGATTTTTGGCTGAACAGAATCCTTACTTAGGACAGAATTCATTTCAATGCTACTTCTTTTCTATTGCGTTCTGTATCAATATGTTTCTGCATTAGTTTTTTAACTACTGAAGTCAAAGGTCCACTACACAAGACTGTATAGAGAAACCTCAGATATTAAAATCTCTATCTGGTGGATTTTATTTATTTATTTGACCTGTAGCTTAACTTTCCTCCAGGACAGAGGTCTCCAAACTTGGTAACTTTAAGACTTGTGGACTTCAACTCCCAGAATTCTCCTGGAAATCAAAGCAGCATACACAACACTTCCATTTTTTTCCCATGACAATAATCCTATCAAGTTGGATAGCCTGAGAGAGGGTGATTGTTCAAGGTCATCTAGTAAGTTTCCAGAGCTAAACAACTTAAACCTGGACCTCCCCAGTCAAAATCCTCAATCACTACCCTGCAAATGTTTGGATTGCATTGCCTGGCATTGTTCATCTAAAAAAAACTAAGCAGGATCAAATCTTATTAGTGTTTGGATAAGGAACCATTCAGAAGTACAAGTGCTGAAGGCACTTGAAGTGTAAGAAACATTGTAATCATAAATGCATCCACACTGATGCCAAGAAATTGACACAGAGATTCAACAGATTAACAGAGTTGGAAGGGACCTTGTAGGTCATCTAGTCCAACCCCCCCCCACTCAAGCAGGAGACCCTATACCATTTCTGACAAATGGCAAGTCCAATCTCCTCTTGAAAGCCTTCAGTGATGAAGCTTCCACAACTTCTGAAGGCAAGCTGTTCCATTGGTAGATTGTTCTCACTGTCATAAAGTTTATCCTTATTTCTAGATGAATCTCTCCTTGATCAGTTTCCATCCATTGTTCCATGTCTGACCTTTGGGTGCCTTGTAAAATAGCTTGACCCCTTCCTCTCTGTAGCAGCCCCTCAAATATTGGAAGATTGCTAACATGTCTCCCCTGGTCCTTCTCTTCACTAGACTAGCCATGCCCAGTTCCTGAAACAGTTCTTCATATGTTTTAGTCTCCAGTCCCCTAATCATCCTGGTTGCTCTTCTCTGCACATTTTCTAGAGTCTCAACCTCTTTTTAATAGTGTGGTGACCAAAACTGGATGCAGTACTTTAGGTGTGGTCTTACTAAGGCTTTATAGAGTGGTATTAGTACTTCCCTTGATCTTGATTGTATCCCTCTGTTAATACAATTTAAGATTGCATTAGCTTTTTTGGCCAATATAATCCTAAATTGCATCAACAGAGGGATTTGTTTGATTCTTTTTTGAAGATCCAAACTAACATGACTGTGAAGTTATCAACTTCAGCTCAATGGAAAGGAGCGTTTACCAGAAACATGAGATAAAACATTTAAGCCATCCTCTTTTAAACTGGAACGGAATCCCATTAGATGTAAGAAGCAACATACAGTAGCTTTAATCATCACTTCCTATTCCTCAGTATCTTCAGCAGGTGGCAGCACTTGGCTGACTTAATTAAAATCTGATGAGACACCGAAGGGGATGGATGCCTTCTATCCTGTGAAACCTTACTTGGGCTTAGACTTCATAAAGGCAATGAAACAAAACTAGAGAAATCTACTACAACTGTTTAAGATTGCCAGGATGCTATGCAAAAGGTACTCCTCAACACACAACAGTTCATTTAGTGACCGTTCAAAGTTACAACAGCACTGAAAAATGTGTTAGGATCATTTTTTTCACACTTAAGTCCATTGAAGTATCTCCATGGTCGCACAATCAAAATTTAGATGCTTGGCAATTGGTTGCCGTCATGTCATGCCATCACTTTTGGGACTCAGCGTGATGCTAATACCTAATAAAGGTTTACCTGGGCAGGTGTGGCACCTGCAGATTTCTTGGCATGGCCATAGCAAAAGGGTGTTTTCCTGTTCTTCCCAATCTCCAAGGGGAAGTCAACGTGCCAAAGTCAATGCGGAAGCCAGATTCAGTTAAAAACGTGTTGCTCACTGAAAAACTGCAATCATTCACTTAACAACTGCGGTGAGAAATGTCGTAAAATGGGGCAAAACTTACTTAACAAATGTTTTACTTAGCAACATAAACATTTGGGCTCAATTGTGGTTGTAACTCAAGAACTACCTGCAGTAGTCAATCAGAGGAGCCTCTATTTCCTTGATTCAGCCAAAATTAAATCTTTTAAAAATTAAGCTCATAGATGCTTTAGACTATCCTTAAAGCTCATGGAATGTAGACATATTTTAATCTAGGCTGAAATATCCCCATCATATTTAATGCTTATATTTGGTGTATAGTAATTTTGTATTTTTTGGTCAATTTGAGAAATGCTCTTCAGATCTGTATGATGTTAATATGGATTTGAGCTCTGATGGTGCAGTGGTTAGAATGTAGTACTGCAGGCTACTTCTGCTGCCTGCCGGCTGCCTGCAGTTTGGCAGTTCAAATCTCACCAGGCTCACGGTTGACTCAGCCTTCCATCCTTCTGAGGTGGTAAAATGAGGACCCAGATTGTTGGGGGCAAGAGAGGGCTGTAAAGTACTGTGAAGGAGTATATAAGTCTAAGTACTATTGCTATTTCAATGCATGTGATCCAATTGGACCGTTTTTTCCCCATATCTCATACTTATGTTCTTGTGGGGCAGAGAGTAACACAAAACAACTGCAAAGTTTTTCTTTATAACCACTGGGGAAATGAGGCTTGAGCAAGACATTTCTTATTGGATGGAATTCCATTTAAAAACCAAAACCTAATCTATATAAAAATCAGAGCTCAAGGACTTTTATTGTCTGAAAAGCTTCCTACTCAGTGAAAGATATTATTAATTCACCAGTTGTACACATGAAACAAAGTTGGCAGGAAATAAAGGAAGCATTCACAGTTATTTTATCAAACAGCCTTCTTTCCCCAAAATGAAATATATTGAATATATAGCTTTCAAAATAACACCAGGCCATTGCTGTTCTTGCTATGGGCTGATTCTGTGATAAATTACATTTATAGATATTGATTCTCCCAGGGTGGGATATAAATTCGGTAGATGATCCCCATTGTAATTCCATAACAGAGCAGCTTAAGAAATTGAAGAACATGCAGCACTTAATGGTGCATATAATCGTTTACTGCTTCTAAAGTATCTTTGGAAGTTTTCCATTCTCTTCAGTGTCGTTTTGTATACACAGCTAGATATGAAAATGCCCAAAGATTTGTCGTTATTTACTTAGAGGAAGCAGTAGAAGGAGAAAGATCCAGGTTCTATGCTTGGCATCTCTCAATATAATGATAGTTCTCAGTTTGAGATTTTGGAGAATATTCCCCCAACATGGTAGATAATGCTGGGTAAGATTGCTCAATGGTCTGACTCTGTATTCAGCACCCTCTTACATTCCTACAGACCCATTTAAAATTAAGCACCCCTATGCTCTATCCGGTTCCATCCCATAGATTTTTGCTTGCTGTCCCATAATTTACAACTACACAGACAATCAAGGGAACTTGCCCCCAAATTTGCTCCAACAGCCCAAAATCCTACTAAAGACTTAAAAGGCAAACACAGCTTTAAAGAAACAGAGAGAATAATAACCTCATTACTTTGTGCTTTCCAAAGCAACTGTCAGCCTTGAGGCAAAGACTTACCAGCAGTGTGCAATACAGAAGTTTGGTCATTGTACAGGCAGCGTTACAACTCTTAAGAAGCTGGAAAGGCAAGCAGATAGCCAGGGAGTAGCAGCTTGCAAACAGGACCTCGGCACATTTAAGCCTCGTTTATATATATTTCTGTGGCCCCATGCAGCAGGAAAACGTGGCTCAGCTTAAAATCCTCCCTTCTTCCCTCCCCATGATCAATTTCCTTCAATTTTTTTTTAAAGGAACCTGTTGATGATTTCATGCAACTTCTTAACCACAGGTTCTGGGAGGGCAGAAAGGGAGGAGGAGGAGGAGAAGGATTCAGGCAGAAGGATGGGTTAACTAATTACTGTCTGCCAGCCACCACCTCCGTTGTGAAACTGCTGCCCCCTCTTTTTTTTTTCTGAACAAAAAGGGGGAGTCCAAGGAAGTCTCACCTTCAGGACAACAAAGACTGAGTTATTCACATCGTCCCGGCTGTTATAGGAACGGTCGTTTTAAAAATAACTCCCTGAAATTGTCCTTTTTTAAGTTCCTGCTTTGGACTCGTCAATGTGCATGAAGGGAGAGAGAGCAAGAATGGGAACTCTTTGTATGTTTTATTTCCCCATCAGATGAGAGGACCATAAACGTTTGCCATTTAATTCAAAGCGGTTTTTTTATGCCAGTTTGCAAAAATCACCTGTGATTTTTATGCCAGTTTGCAAAAATCACCTGTGATTTTTATGCCAGTTTGCAAAAATCACTGGAACCTTTAAATTTTTTGTCTTAAAAAAAAAAACCACTTAAGCCACAGTGTTGTTGTTTTTAAAGCCAATATAGTGCAATCTATAAAAGAGGCTAGTGTAACATAGTGTAACTTACAAAAGAGACTACTCTCGTTTCCCCCTCTTAAGGAAAGGGGTGCCAGAGGATTTATTTTGTTTGCGATGATGTATTTCTTTGGGAAAGAATTCTCCCTAAAAATCAGAACAAAAAGCAGGATGGAAGCACTTTAAAGAGCACATTGCAGCCCTCCAAACAAAGATATAATTGCCTAAGATGTGTGAGGGAAAAAAAAGGTTAGTAAGTAATTTCTCCTGAGTGTTTCATTTGAACTGAAGAAGGGCTACTGAGAAGAGAACTTATTAGCCGGTAACTATAGGGCAAGTCCATTACAAGTCCCAGCAAACTCCTTTTTATAGTTTTGCAACTTCGTTATTATTAGTTTTCTTTTCTTCATGTGGGTCAGCACATACATATTGTTGGGAGAAATAGCCATCAGGTTCAGTTCCAAGCGGGGAAAAAGACACTGAAAATATGGAGGTTGATTGGAAAGATGTTTTAATGGTGAAGCAGAAGCACATTGGTAGTTCTGGGCAGCTGACCATATGGAGTTAGGAGACAGTGGCATTTATACCTTCTCTAGGGCTTTGCACTTGAACTTGAACTCCTGTGCAAGAAACATCTGTTGTAGGGGTCATAGCTAACTTTGTAGGTTGTCTGAGTCCCAGGTTTGGTTGAAGTTTGGACACTCTGAGATGATGTAATGAAGAGGCTTGTGTTCTGAAAGGGTGTTGGGCAATTCCTATTATGGCATAATGGCTTTGTCCTGGACAGTGGTGGGATTCAATTTTTTTTACTACCAGTTCTTTGGGCGTGGCTTGGTGGGTGTGGCAGGGGAAGGAAACTGTAAAATCCCCATTCCCACCCTACTCCTGGGGGAAGGTTACTACACAATCCCCATTCCAGGGGTGGGTTCCTACCGGTTCTGTCCACCTCTGTAGAACCGGTAGCTCTGAAGAGCAGCAGACATAGAACCAGTTCTATGTCTGCTGATGGTTTTGTCCACCCGCCCCCCGGGCTCTTACCTGATCTTTATTTCCTGATTTTTTCAACTTCAGCTGCCGAACGAGGCACAGCTGCAGTTTAAAAAGCAGGAAAAGAGGGCTGTTTCAAAGGCTGCTTCTCTGCAGGCAGCATGCTGATGACAATTTACAGGCACCCACTGGCAGCGAAGGACATTGTAAATCACTGAACATTGTAAATCACTGAACCAATAGTTAACCCTGACATATCCCACCCCTGTCCCATTTCCTCCCCACCCCACTGACCTGTTTTCCAGCTCCATTCTCCTGTGCAGGGCAACAAAAGGAGACCCAGCTGATCAGCTGGGACTTGGGAGGCAGAGAATAGATGGGGGCAGGGCCAGTCAGAGGTGGCATTTGCCAGTTCTCTGAACAACTCAAAATTTCTACTACCAGTTCTCCAGAACTGGTCAGAACCTGCTGAATACCACCTTTGGTCCTGGAGGGTCGTGTCTTAATCCTATCACCCTGGAGCTGAAGATCTTTTGTCTTGTAGATAGGCTGGCCCAGACTTTCTTAATGGGGCACCAAATAACTGCTAGGGGCAGAGAGCTGCTTTCTGTCTTTAAAACATGTTTCTTCTTTTATCTCCCAGGGAAATATAATATTCTGCCTGTAGGAAGTTAGCACCCACCCTTCTCCTAGAAAAATGAAATATCCTAGGAAATATTAAAAAGGCAGAATATTTCCCCTTAAAAGAGTAGAAACTCAGAAGCAGAGACTCACCCCCACCTTTGTGGCCCATTAAGGCCTGGGCCAGAATATTTTACATAACAAAGATCTCCAGGTAGAGCTATAATAGGAATTGCCCAAAGCCCTTTCATTACATCATCCAGCAAGGCTCAACCAAGACTGGCACTCAGGACAGCTTATAGAGTTGCCCCTGCATGGCCCCATGGGAGTCTGACAACCAATCAGAATACAAGCTCAAATTCAAATCCCAACAGAAGGTATAAAACCAAGGGACTCTTAGCATCTCGCCTCTTCTTTTCCTTCACCCAACATCTTGAAGCATGTGATCGTCCTTTTCACTTTGGAGCTCCAAGCCACGTGGTTCCTCTCCACCATTAAACCATCTTTCCAAAGAGCCTCCATGTTTCCCGTGTCTTCTTCCCTAGTTGGAACTGAACCCAGAAGGACATTTCTTCCAACATGCCTTTTTAATATTTCCTAAAACGTTTCATTCTTCTGGAGAGGGGGAGGTCTTCCCACAATAGCTATATATATTTTAAAGGAGATAAGAGTTTTCAAACTTTACCTCTTCAGTGGTTGAGTGTTAAACTCATATGGGGACACCTCCGTTTTCGCTTCCTCAAGACACTTTTGACAGCGGGTTCCCTGAGCTTGATTATTTTTCATGAACCAAACTGGGCATTATCATCAGTGCATTGATTTTTGACAATCTCATATTCCTGCAAGCTATCCCACATAGTTGTTTTGGAAGGAGGCCATTAGAAAAAAGCAAGTTTCTTAACAGCAGTTTAGCTAAATTCCTTCCACACCTTTCTTCCATCTCCAGTAGCTTGTTTTACGATGGAAAGGCTGATTCTCCACCACTCTTTTTTGTTTATTTGCCACTATGGAAAGAAATATCCATCTGGTTTAATTCCAAGCCAGGAGAAAGGCACTGGAGACAAAATGGAGTCTGAAGGCTAATTGGAAAGAGGGTCCATTTATTGATGAACATAACCACATGTTTGTGATTGTGTTACAGCTGACCACATGGAGTTGAGAGTGAGGGTTTTTTATACCTTCATTGGGGCTTTGAACTTGAGCTTCCTGTTCCTGTGCAACAACATGCATTCTATTGGCTGTTGTCAGACTCCCATGGGGCCATGCAGAGATTATGTAGAGGCTCTATAGGCAAAGTACAAATTCTAGGTGTTTATCTGAGCTAACTTTGGTTGAAGTTTCTAAGGGTAATGCAATGAAGGGGCGTTGGGCAATTCCTGGCTGAGGACTAATCCTACCTTAGTTGGATCTTGGGTGAGGATACTTGCTTATGAATAGAGCTAGCTATCTCTTTATCTCTTAAGTGCTGACATCTGCTGTGGGATATAAAGGAAGGTGGGGGCTGCTTTCCAAGAGCATATTTCTCCATGCTCACCCAGGGAAATATAATATTCTGCCTTTTTAAATATTTCTCAAAATATTTCATTCTTCTAGGAGAGAGGTGGGTGCTAATTTTTCTACACCATCAAATGAATTGAAAGCCACGGGCTTCCCACTCCTGTGGCAAACTGGTAGATCAACTTTCTCTTCTTTCCAGGTAAGTTTGCTCTCTGTGGCATCCATAGGGAGCTGCAAAGTGGCGGGACTCATTCTACCATGAAATTATTCCTCTGTTTTGACTTCTTTTCTCTAGCGGAAGATCCATATCTTTGTCCAACTATGAAGATAGGAACAGCAGGCAGAGCAGCAACTGGAGGGATGATGTCCGAGAGGGAGGGAGCCAGCATAGAGAAGGCCCTTCTTCTGGATCCTACCAGATGTATCTCTTTAGGGGACGGGACCCGCAACATTCCTTGCCTTCTTGCTCTACTGTAATATGTGTGAAATCCATGTAAATCTATGTCTTCTTTGGGGAGTTTTCAGAAGAATAACTACACAGAGCAAGCATTGCCTTCACTTGGATTCTAGCTATTCTAGATAACGCATCTGGGTAACACTGCAGAGACGGGCTAGTATAAATGTCAGCACCACTAGCTAAACCAGACCAGGAAATCAACTCCGTAAGAAGGTTAAAACTACTTTATTTATTGATTTTTAATGGCTATAATAACGAAAGCCTGAATTTGCTATCCCTCCTCCCTTTGTTACATTCAGTAAATCAGGAAGATTTGCCTGAGATTTTTCTAAATATTATTCTGGATTATTTTAAAAAATGCTTCACTTCCCTTTGCCTAGGCCAGTGTTTTCAGCTTGCTGGCTGGAGAATTCTGGGAGTCGAAGTCCAACTTCTTAAAGTTGCCAAGGTTGAGAAACACTGGCCTAAGTAATAGCTTCTATATTTCTCCATCAAGGTTTCTGATTTCAGTCCTGACTGAGATTTCACTGTGGTTTTGAACATCACATTGAGTCCATTTAGATCCAAGCCATTTTGCAGGCCAACAACAACAGAGAACAGTTAAATGTGACCTCACATATTTGATACACTGAGCTTCCTCCATCTTGTATCCATGGCAAATCTTGAAGCTGCAAGTTTTGAAAATATCTTGGAAATAATCAAGGTAGTCTATATAGCCTCCTGGATAATGTAAACATCATCAAATAAATGAATAAATAAGGAAAACCGGAGTGGGGGAAACTAGGAAAATCCCAAATTACACAGCTCCCATTGAGACAGACATAAAACAACATCCGTTCAGAAAAAGAAATTCTCAAAAAGAAATCCATCCCCCATCTATTCATCTATTCTGGGTTGCTGC